AGCGGCTGCCCCCCGACGTTAAGGCCAAGGGCAACCCCTTCCCCGCTGGTCCTCTCCACCACCGCCATGACCCACAGGGACCCTTTGGCCATGTGTCCCTTCGTTCAACCCACGTCGGGCGCCGTCACCTAGGCCGCCAGTGGCACGGATCGCGCCGCTTCCTCTGGCACCACCACGGCTGCGTCCGGCTACGCCTGGCTAGTCACGGCCACGACCACCTCCGCTTGCACCGGTGGGGCCTCGACCGGCGGCGCCGCGCCCACCACAGACAACGCCATAAGCGCGAGTGGCAGCTCCGCCCGCACTTTCCCCCGCATGGAACGAGAAAGGCCCCTGCACGGACGAGTGTATACCTGTCAACGTATCCTCGCTCGCCAGGTCGTCCAACTCAGTGTCAGCAACAACCTCATCATCCTGCTTGTCGTCGTCGTCATCGTCGTCATCACTGTCTATCTCCTCCCCACGCTCCCGTGCACGTATCTTCTGCTGCTTCCTCCTCCTCTCATCCTCCTTCACCTTCTGCTGCCACTCGGCCATGGCGTGATTGGACGCCATCATGGCCGGGTCCTTCGGCGGTGGAGCCGGGTGGTCTTGGAGGACGAGTCTCTTTGGCTGGTCCCCCTATTTCTAGATCAACATTAGGGGGTCGGGAGTTCGATTAAAAAGGAGTTGCGAGGAAAGAAAACTTACGAAGGCGATGTACCCCGGTTCCGGTCGCATTAGGGGGTGCCCCGGCACCGGATACACAAACTCAAGGATAGCGCCGGCGTTGTCCCACTAAGGCTCCATCGCCTCCTTGATGCACTGCGCCACTTCAGAGGGGGAGAGCGCTCCCTCGGCAAGCGTTGTCCCATCAAGCGCCACCCCGGGCGCTATCATGTGCAGGGGAAGCGCGCGCCTCATCAGCGGCACCACTCTCCGCATGTGGTAGGTGCCGATGATCCCCGACCCCTTCATGCCCCTCTCCTTCAGGATCCGGATGGCGGTGAGATGGTCCTGGATTCTCTTCTTGTCCTTCTCTAGGACTCCCCACTTCCTCCAAGATTCCGGGACCTCCTCGATGAGGCGCCCGGTGAACTCCGGCAAGGGGGCGGCTGCGTCGTTCCTAACATAGAACCAATGCGAATGCCACCCCTTATTGGAGGTCGACAGATGCATCGACGGGTACTCATTGACCCGGTTGTTGCGGAGCTGGATGCCGGCACATCCCATCGGCGCGTTTAGCTCTTGCCTCTTTTCCCGCTTCTTCAGGAGGGTGACGATGAAGAAGTACCGCCATAGGTCAAAGTGGAGACTAATCCCCAGGAACCCCTCACATAGGGCAATGAACGCCGCAATGTGTTGGATCCCGTTGGGATTTAGATGCTGCAGCTCCACCTTGTAGTAGTGCAGCAAGCCCCAAAGAAACTTATGGGCGGGAGTGGCGAATCCTCGCTCGTGGAAGTGAGCAAAGGATACGACATACCCGTCGAGCGGTGATGGCACGTCCTCATCATCGGGCAGTCGCCACTCCTCGGCGGCAGTCCGCGCGCAAAGAAGGCCGCGGCGAACGAGGCCCTCCAAGCGCTGAAGGGTGATATCGGATTTGCACCACCTCGCCCGACATCTGCACGCTGCTCCTTCATAACTACGCGCGTAGACAAGGCAGGATATTCAAGTCAACCGCAATACCGAGGACCACACCCTGCACGCCTGCAGGAAAGTACCGTCAGGATATGACAAGACGGGCGCTTTAAGGCCCTTCCGGGCATGTTAGAGCCCAAACAGTGTTGTAGGCGTCGACATTTGTTTTACAGTGTTGTGGGCGCCGCCACTGGCCCTCGGGCGCAGATCCCAACGGAACTATACGACAACCACTACGGTTCAAGAGGAGACTCACATCCTCTACAGTGACAGACGTGCAGTCATTGCGACGTCCGCTCCCCGTGGGGTTGCGGATCAACACCCCAGTCCATCGCGTCGCCCACCGAGGCGGGATGGGACGTGACCACTTGCTGATCAAGTCAGAGCGTGGCATCATCAACGGACAGACGCCCAGCGTGGAGCTATCCCTGGCACTGTCTGTCGTGTCAGCAGGGCTGGCTCAGAGGAAAAGGAAGACCTAGCAGCTTCGAAGGACCTTCTTGGCCTCTGGTTTTTCTTCTTTCTCCCATATGTAATCCCTGCTCCCCCTTGATCTATAAAAGAGAAGGCAGGGCACCCCACTAGAGAGAGACAGACCGATTCCACACACATCACATGGCACATAGCAGGGTAGCAACCAAAGCGCTCTGCATCCATTCAACCTTTCCATCAGAGATTTGGGTCCCGACCCTCTCTCGCCAGTTTGTACCCCCTACTACAAATTTTTCAGTGCAAATAACACGGGCAACAACCACGAATTGGACGTAGGGACATTCTGCCCGAACCAGTATAAACCATGTGTCTTTTTAGCACACCATCCGGACCGAACGCGCAATAATACAAATTTACTAGTTGGCGTTTACTCGAAACACCGACACCCTCTCTCCTAACGTGGCCCAAAGTGCGGCCACCTGCACGCATTGCGAACAGCCGGCCCGGTGGTGCCCTAGCCTGCGGCGCAGCACCCGGCGGGGTGGCCGCTCGCCCGCATTGCGCACCGCGCACCTCCGCGCCACTTTGCGCGGCTGCCTCCGGTGAACTCCACATGCCAGTGAGCCTCCATTTCGCAAGCAGTAAGGAGATGTTGCGATGTGATGAAACACATGTTGCAAGCCTATGTTTCAAGTGTTTCGGATTTTTATAGTATGTTGCAATTGTTTCAGACGAATGTTGCAAAAGTAGATCATGATGTTGCATATGTTGTAATGGCTGTACAGGTATGTTGCAAAGGTCTATTCACAATGTTTCATCTATGTTTTTTGGACGTATTGTTACAAGTGTGTTTATCTGAATGTTGCATATGTTTCACGCATATGCTGCAAGTGTTTTAACTAGATATTGTGTATTTTTGCAATGATTTTTAAGTGTTTTTCGTGTGTTTTTGCAAGTGTTTCATTTGTCTTCAGACGAATGTGGTAAGTGTTGCATCTTGATACTTTAAAAGTAGACCAGGCGTTGCAAATGTTGCAATGTGCATGAGAAGCGGAGGGGCCGTGGTCTGGCGGCGCGGGCCCCGCATGGGCACGTGCAACACAGGCGGAGGCGGAGTCCGATTTAGGTGCCAATTCAGGTACTTACTCAAATAGAACCCCTATTGATTTGCTAGTTGATAAGGTAAATATCCAGCCCACTCAATGCTAGGCGTAATGAGGGTAAGGGCCTCCAAAAAACTTCTTTTCGTTCTATGAACTTTAAGGTGTATGAAGTCTCATAGTAAACTCTTGCAACGGAACATTAGGGGTGTGTTGGTTTTTTTTTTGCGAGCGCGGGCGTGGATTACTGATGCGAGCGCGAGAAACTGCAGCGGGCGCCTCGACGCGGGCCTCGGGCTGGACGTCCGGGCGCTAAACAAAACCATATGCCTCATGCACCGGGCTGAAAAAGGTGAAAAGGACTTCGTTTTTGCGGAGTTTGAGTTACTACACAGTTCAAAAACTAGAAACATCTCTGTTATTGGCTCTAAATTCAGCAAGCTCGAAAGGAAATATCCTCTCTTTTTCTCCAATGCTTATAGAAGCTCAAGTATGAAATTTAGTTAAGATTTTTGCTCCTTAACTGCTTATCCTGTATTTACCCACATCTGTCACTTCTAGTGAAGAAGGTAAATGACGTCGCCCTTGTTCTCTGATATTCAGCCATACCAGGTGCAGATGTCATATTCTTTGATGTACATAACAATTGTTGTTTCAAATTTAAGGGCCTGTTTAGATGGCGAAAATTTTTACAAAATGCACTGTAGCACGTTTCGTTGTTATTTGGCAATTAGTGTCCAATCATAGTCTAATTAGGCTTAAAAGATTCGTCTTGTGAATTTCGTCTAAACTGTGTAATTAGTTTTATTTTTTATTTATATTTAATGATTCATGCATGCGTCCAAAGATTCGATGTGACGGAGAATCTGAAAAATTTGGCAAAATTTTCTGGAACTAAACTGGACCTAAACAAGCCCTAAGATTGATTTGCTTCTTCCAAGTATATGATGACAGATTATATTCTTGGTCTACGCTGTGATTATTCTTTGTGAAGCAACTAAAATACTATTTAAGCTGTCAATGGACCCTCAAACCACACAGTTTTAACATTGCTTACGATAAGAGCAAAGAGACTGAAAGCGGTGCAGATATAGCATTTGGATAAAAAGAATTGGGGGAGTGATAAAAAGAATTGGGAGAGTAGTAGTCTGTCGGCTGATGGATTACCGGTAGGGGACCTATCGGCAACTGGAGAGCCGACATCTACCTATCGGCCGTCCACGAGCTAAATAGTCTCTGCACAGGGCCCTGTCGGCCGTCGGCTGGTGGACAGGACCATGCACGTTTTGTGCCCTTGCGAGCCGTCGCATTCCGGCGACGTAACGTCTGACCACCACCACCAGCACTAGAAATCATGGTGCCATGGCATTGGCTATTTGGCCACTAAACTACGACTCGGCTGGGGGCCCAAGATCCGGTGCCTGGTTCGGTCCACTCCACTCACTAGTCACTCCCCAGGATGCTAGCTGCCGGGCACGTGTCAGTGCGCAGAGCAGAGCACAGGGCAGGGCAAAACGAATATATAGGTGACAGATTCAACAAACAAACTCGTTTTTTTAAAGGCAACAACTCGCAGCCTGTTCGGTTGGTAAATATCGTTCTTTGGTTAGCGAACAAATCTTTACTTGTATGAGAGAAAAAATATTTTTTTTACGATCGTTTGCAACAACTCGGGCTGTCGGTTTGCTAGGGGGAAAAAAAACGATAATGACTAGATATGGACGTCCATCCGGACGGGCGGACCAAACCCGCTTGCGCCGCTAGTCTACCTCGCCTCGACGTGGGCCTCGGGATGGACGTCCGGGCGCTAAACAAAATCGTATGCCTCATGCACCGTAGTATGCCTCATGCCTGCACGGGCAGCAGCAGCGCGAGGACCACGTTGGCCGGCGTCAGCGGGCCGTGTCCGTCCTCGGTGGCGAACACGGACGACACGTTCTGGCCGATGAACACGAGGTACGCCACGGTGCCGCCCGTCTGCGACAGGATGATGGTGGCCTCCGTGAAGTGCCTGCCGATCCGGCCAAAGCACCTCTCGCCCAGGTCGCCGTAGGTATAGTTGCAGCAGCGGTGCTGCTCGCCGTCCTCCTCCGTCTCTTGGTCTCGCAGCTTGTCTCTGCATTCCAGCTTCATTTTGGCAGACGACGAAATTTGGGATCACTCAGTAAGCTAGATCTGGAGCAAAGATTGATGGAAGCAGGAGGAGCATGGATGGATGCACTGTTACTGTACTGACCAGCAGGTAGAAGGTGGCGCCCCGGCGCCAGCGACACCGAGAGCGCCGGTGAGCCAGCCGGTGGTGCGGAAGGCGTAGGGCAGGCCGAGGACCCCGGTGCCGACGATGGAGACGACGATGTTCCCGATGGTCTGCGCCGGCGTGGCACCCCTTCGCGCCTCCTGCAGCAGCGGCGCCTTCGCCTCCGCCGCCATTGACCGCCGGCAACCAACGCCGTCTCTATGGAGGGGAGAAGGAAGCCTGCCTCGAGCAACGAAGGAGGGCTTAAACCGGCGTCGCCGTCGCCGTCGACGCGTCTCTTTCCGCAATTCCTTTTCCTACTCGTGCATCGTGCTCTTGGATCGACGCGCGCGGAGATGAGGATGCATGGATCGGATGATCCGACCATGTCATCATGAGATGGCGTGGCGGGTGTGGGGTGGGTGGGTGGCCGAGTAGCCACAGTGGCACGCATCCTGTGCTGTGTCAGATGTGCGCGCGTGTTCTGGCATGGAACGAACACGTGTGTGTGATGCAGGAATAAAGTTTTACAAGTGTCTTATTGTTGTTGCACGGGGTGTTTATATATTAATAAAAAAATAAATTACGCACAAAGATGCGTTGCGAAGTTGTTTCAGCGGGAATTTATTTATATGGAAAAAACCGTCCTCTTGTTAATATGTTATTAATATGCATCTGTGTTTACTTTAGATTTAGCACCACATTATTAAATTATGGACTAATTAGGCTTAAAAATTCGTCTCGTAAATTAATCTTAATCTGTGTATTTAGTTTTATAATTAATTTATATTTAATACTCCATGCATGTATCCAAATATTTGATGGAACAATGACTAAAGTTTAGGAGGTGGAACAAAACACCCTAAAATAGCACACCTGTCTGACTGGATTTTGGCAACCATTTTTTTATTGGATCGCGGATTGGTTTGGCCCCGGCGGATCTGGTGGTTGGATCGTCGCCGCCGACCGTCGGGATCCATCCGGCTGTCGCGGTAGGGCTCGTGGATCTGGAGGCGTCGAGTGGCTGACGAGAGGAGCAGCCGCGTGCAGCACGATCGTCTGTCACTGTAATCTCATCGCCAGAGAAGAATCATGTATTGGTGAGTCATGGGAGAGCGGGCCAAGTATTAAACACAATCCTTCTGTATTTTTTCCTTTCGGATTCGGACGGAGAAAATCTTTTTCTATGGTAGTCCGTTACTACAAGCTGGTAAGTAGGCAGGTATATTGCTACACCTCAACTATCTCGTCTATGTCGTGCGCCGTTTCATGCATTACCACATAGAATTTTTGCTGATGTGAAGAAAAGAGAGAAGGGAGAGAGAAAGATGTAACACTCTCACTGTTACACCGTAAATCATTTACTAAAACATATCATTTAAAATTAGAATATTTTTTTGAAACACATTTGGATGAATGTGTCATTACATACAGGAAGAAAAAAAATACATGTTTGTCTTCTTTCAGCACCGCCTATTTAGTTCATTATTATTTTCGCAATGCAAATATCTAGGGCCTGTTTGGAACTTACGAATATAAAAGCAGAGGAATTGAACAAAACATAGGAAAGAGGCAGGAATTTAGTGTTAAAACAAAGGAATGAAAAACATAGGGATTTTTGAAACATTGGCGTTTGGAACATTGGAACGGAAGCCGGTGCTAAAACTTAAGAGTATAAATATTAACGTGTGTTATTAGGCTTTTATATACAAGATTCCGGCCAGCTTGCATGTCAGCAGACATGCTAACAATGCCTCACTGTGCTTCATTGCATTGGACTTCATGAAGGAAAGAAAACCAAGAGGTAGAACTGGATGCTCATTTTCCTTCAAAATGTACAGTACAGGAAACTTTCCTTTGGAAAGGAAGTAACTAATCCTCCATTCCAAACGCTGCTACAGGAGTAAAAGTATAGGAATGGTGAATCCTTTAGAATTCCTTTGGAATTCCTGTAATCCAAACAACCCCTGGAAAAAGGGAAAATTCCTCCAAAAGTCAAAATCTTTGTGTGGCTAATGGAAAACAATGCAATTCTCGCAAAGGATATTCTTATTAGAAGAGGGTGCATGGGTTGCTGACCCTAAGTGCTCCTTCTGTGATAACAATAAATCGAACTCTCACCTGTTCTTTGAGTGTCCTGTGGCCAAGGTTATTTGGGGGATCATTACTACTTGCACTGGCGCAAAGCAAACAATGTAACTCTGATCATTGCAGCAGGCTTGGGAGTGGGTCAAAGTGTGGATTCCTGATGGGAAAAAATGTCCATACATTCGGAGTGGCTGCTATATGTTGGGCATTTTGGAAATCTAGTCTAGAAACAAAGTGTGTTTTGAAAATAAAACTGTAAAGAAATTTTCAAAAAAATAATACTGTAAAGAAGTTGCTTTTGTTTGTCTCGTGTTGAGTACTAGATGCGAAGACAGCATCGTGTGTTTTGGGTACTTGGGAACATGGTTCTTGTTATCTTCTTCTTCTTCTTCTTCTAAGGGCGTTGGTATTCCATCGTTACTGTGTTAATCTTCTTCACCTTTTTCTTTTCAAAAATGATGCAAGGTCTATTCTCTGATTCTTTCCCATCGCTAACATTCATCTACTTCGTTGTCTTCATCCGTAATGCCAGATAAGAAAACAACATTTCTTTTTTGAGAAAAAGAAACCCAATGATATTCGCAAAACCGAATTCTTGCACAAGTCACTGAATGGCATTTCATGGGCCATAAAGTAACCACGTATCAAGCCCACTACGGACCAAACGAACTATTCCCTGTGCAGCACTGCAGCAACAGCGTCCGTTCCACGGGCTAGTTCTTGACTGCATTGTTCGGTTTCATGAACCTGAAGCATCATGAACGGGACTAATTCGTACTCACTTATGACCAGTTCGTCCATGACATCGATTGTGGAGAATCGGAGCTGGAGCTGGGGGTTTCAGGATCTAGAACATCGCTGATGTAGCTTCCCAATGCTACTAAACCGTGCATGGAAACAAATTCGAAACAAGATGCTCAATCTGAAAAAAGTAGTAGTAGAAATCAACATTCGTGCGCCGAAGGCTCCAATGTTCTGTCAACCAAGATTATCGTTGTCATTGGAGGTTCCAATTTTAGGTCGATCTTCGTTTGGTGTTTGGCTAGTCCCTGCTTTCAGTCATGACAACTTCAGCAGACACGAAGAATTATGCAGGTTGGCCTGAAATAGGTCCGATGGTCAACATCGCATCGTGTGATGGCCAGAGATGCACCGCAGTTGACAGTACAGAAATGATGTGGACAACGAAAGGCCTTCTTCTCCCAAAACTTTTGTGCTCGACAAGTTTTAGCCACAGTTTTGGTCTATTAGAAGGGAAGGAAGACATGGATTTGAATTGATTTGAGTTTCAATTCTGCCGTCCCACTAACCTGACCGTGGCCTGTGTGTTTCCTTTGGACAAAGGTTTAGTCCTATCGCATCGAATCTTTGATACCAATTAGGAGTATTAAACATAGGCTAATTAGAAAACTAATTATACAGATTGAGATTAATTTACGAGACGAATCTATTAAATCTAATTAGTCCATGATTTGACAATGTGGTGCTACGGTAAACATTTGCTAATTATGGGTTAATTGGGCTTAATAGATTTGTCTCGCTAATTAGTCTACTCCTGTGCAATTAGTTCATATTTAGTCCTCCTAATTAGCATCCGAACGTCCGATGTGATACGACTAAACTTTAGCCCCTGGATCTAGACATATACTCCGTGCTCTGCAGGCTGCAATTCATTGGCCTGTTTCCACAACATGATGAATATGTTAGCCTTTTATGTATTCTTGACTAAAGGAATATGCAAACGGAGACCCTAACTAATCGGACTTGACACTACTATGTACATATGCACTGTAAACAAAGCTTAAAGTTGGTGAATGAATGCTACTTCCCAGCTATTGATCTTCAATTAGTCTCTTGCGGGGTTAGGGCTTAATTTGTAGGGCAGGAATTTACCAGCTGATGGGGTCTCACTCTCACCAGAATTTCGCTAGTTACATGTCATCTGCTCCACATACATGGACTTCTCCAAAAAATGTGTAAACCTTAAATTAATCATAAAATATATTTTCATAATAAATATATTTGAATATACAAATATCGATACTATTCCAATAAACCTAAGTTTGACTTAGTCCAAACCTAAGGTTACATTTTTTCAGGACAGAGAGAATATGTAAAATGCATCGGCCATGTATTTATTTTATATTATATAAATTGTGTATGTTTATTGGATAGTATATATTTTCTTCGTCCGTCGTTGTCTGTCGTAACTATAGGTAGGACTCTCATGCTGAGACCTATAGGTAGGACTCTCATGCTGAGACGAATAAGAAAATTATTAATAAGGGGTGTGTTAGCTCAGATTAGACTAATCAGTTAATACACGCCTAGTTCATTTAAGCCGGATTTACCTTTTTGTGTTAATTAAACATGGCTAAAAGAATTTAACTCAATTCCATTTACATGTATAACTACCAATGTGTTATATGCAATTTTGTTTTTATCATGTTTATTAAGACACACGTCCAATAGTTTTTGGTTGTAGCGCGCATGGGCATCTCGGTCCATTATCTCGGTCTATCGTTCCTCGTTACCACACCTCTCGTTTAGAGTGAATTTAATTACATGGGAGATAGCTATCCCCATAGAGGGGTAGCTATCCATGACTCTGATTTGCGCCACATGTAACGGTGGACGGATGGATTTCGTTCACTCTAGATGGTAAGCAAAGGACGTGTCTGGACCTGTTTGTTCTTTTTGGGAAAACTTGGACCACTGACGTATGTATACAAACCCGAGTGGTCCGATACGGTTGTCAGACAAGTAGCTTAAAACTGCGTCCTAGCAGGATGTATTTTCAACTCGCGTTCAACGTCTGTGAGCTAAAAAGAACTGAACTCACGTTCAACGTCCCTTTCAGGATTTACCATGGCAACGGTGAAATCAAATATGAGGACAATGGGTAGACATTAGTGAGTTCTAGGTGTATTGACACAGAAATGAATTCGCCGCTAGATTATAGCCGGAAATAAGTTTTAGCCTGGTTACATGAATACTTGGGTGTTCTGCCCTCCGAGCATTGTTTCAAGATTAGTATGTTAGAGCCTAAACATCGGGAGAATGGATGGAGGTGGGAGCTGTATGAGGCCAGTAACACGAAGAAGTG